TCCGGAGTAGAAGTGGCTGGAAAAACGAAGTTTTCTAAAAAGTCATCGAGACACGTAATTATTAAAATAATTATCCTATTTTCCAACCGACTTCAGAAAACAAGGTTGTCAATTCAGTTGTTTTTTTTTAATGTTTGTTTCTTCAAAACGGTTCTTTATTCGGTCCTTTATAAATATTTTTAAATTGCTACTTGCGAATGCAATCGAATACAATATTGGATTTAACTTCCATGTTGTCTCATATTAATTTCATTGGTATTAGACCTTGGACTCCGGGGATATATCAGAGAACTCCTCAAAATCAAATGGAAAATGTATTGTTAGATATTTGAAATCAATTTTGTTTTACATTAATAAAAATGTAGCCGCAATTTGGAAAAATCAATGTAACAATTTCTTAACTTTTTTCATAGGAATGCAATAAATCAGAATACTAATTAAATTTATGTTAGAAACTGAAGGAAGTTACTTTAGAAGAATTATTGTGTGAAAAATTGGGTTAGACACGATCGCTTACGCTTAGAATCTCGTCATGTATGTTGAAAATTAAATGAAACGAAAATTTATTTATTCGATATTCAAATTGTTGCATTTCTATATCCAGGTTATCATGTTTCGGATAGTAATATTTCATTATATTACTGTCCGATCGGAATTTCTTACTAAACTGTTACAAAAATATTAATAAAGTAAAATAACCGCGCAACAGTTTACGCTGTAGCGTTAATGGACAGGCTCGTCCGAGTAGGTACCACGACCTCATAGAAGACCGGAGTGCAGTAGAAGCATTATATTTCTGTTACGTCTAGTGAGTGATGTAGTCGGGGCCCACTTTATTAAAAGGTGGCAACGCATCTGCACTAAGCTTGCATGTGATAATTTCAACTCAATTTCGTCGAGTGCATCGAATTACAAGTGACTGTCCGGACACTGCTGTAATTAGCTTACACATAGAGTTCCAATAGTAACAGTCTCAAAAACTTGTATTAAAAATTATAAAAACATTACACATTTTATAGCAGCCGTGATAGCTCAAAGTCCGGGCGCTCGCCTTTAATTAAATTTACTCGAGCAAACTGGTTCGATCCCTGGTGCGGGCACCAATGAAATTGTTAATTTTTGTTAAATGAAATTGTTAATAAAAACTTGTTAATAATAACGTGTACAGCAGTAAAGGAAAACATCGTGATGAAACTTGCATGTTTTGGAATTAATAACAAAAAAAATCTTTCGAAGATATGTGAAGTCCGCCAATCCGCAGTGGGTTCGTGTGATATGGACTATGCACTATCTGTACAGGGGAGGCCTTTGCCCAGCAGTTTGACATTTATATTTTCAATCCATTCTCCTTTGGAATGACCTCCCGTATGACATCAGGAAGACCACTGAACGTAATGCTTTTAAGAATGAGATAAAAAAACTATATCTAAGTAAGTTGGCAGAATAAAATCATCAGTAGTTATTGATATCGTATATTATTTATTTTACATATTAATTATTTGTGAATATTATAGTATATGTATTCTGTTTTGAATCCTTAAATAATGTAATACATTTTTGTTATATTGGGTTTAATATGTTTATATACGTTATATAATTTCATGTATACGTTTTAAATTTAATTATATATGAATATGTATATAACTTTCATTTTAACTTAAAATTTGATTTGAAACTTTTTACACCTGCCTCTTTTGTCTCTGCGTCGCCCATAGTTTGACTGGTAGAGAATGTTCAAATAAATAAATAAATAAATTTATAGGTTGTTACTTTACTTAACACATTTTATATTGGTATTCTTGAAACTCTTAATAAGTCCTTATTAATACTTGTATTTATTCGAATAAGTACATTATTTACACAGTCATTACTGTTTCGAAGCCAGATCTTAGCTTCATACTTATTCGATATTATCTATTTAAAAGCATTTCAATTTCAATAGAAAACGTCATGGTTGATGATATAAAGCTGGAGAAAGATTATAGGAATAAATGAATAATAACACTAAATTCAGATTGGATATCAAATTAATTATTATAAGAACAAACAGTGATCGCCCCGCGCTTATCAGTGACATTAAGACGTCTAACGCTTAGCTCTCGATGGGACCTTAAATCCTGTAAAGTATTTGGAGAGTCGGGAATTTAAGTTTAAAATAAACGCAATAAAACTCGTAAAAATACATTTAATAATATGAATGTTTTACGTTCCGTTATTAACAGAAATCTATCCAAATCAGTGACAGTTTAGTGTCCGGGTGCTCGCTTTTAGTTAAATATAATTCGGCAACTTCAGTTCACTCTTGAGATCTCGGCAACAATGACATGATTAATTGCAATTTTAAGAGATGAATTATCACGTTCTTGGTGACGGAAACCATCGCGAGAAAACATTTATATTTTCGAAATAATAAACAAAAACAAACTTCGATGATATGTGAAGTCTGCCAATCCGCAGTGGATTCGCGCTATGCCCTAATACCATCCGTACAGAGGATTCGTCTACCCAACTGTGTATATAGGTTGTTACATTGTTATTATGAAAGAAATTCCCTGTTTCTTTGATTTATTTTAAAAAAATTAATGTGGAAAATTATTTTTTAGTTTTATCGTGGGTTTAACTACTCGATTTTCCTCTATTAAATTTACTTATATCCCAATTACAAAATAGAGATGCAATTATTTTCTTAAACATTTGATCTGAATTTGTTTCATTTTCAATTGGTTTCTACCAAATGTTTCTCTTCTTATTTCAAACTTTTGTTATTTTTCTTTTGCCTCTCTTTATCATGTGTAAGTTCATAACATAATCTATGCTTAGTGTTCTCCCATTCGCATTTCAAAATTTTATAATTATCGTAACTTTTTTCATTATGTATTTTTTAATTCTTTCAATTTTTTCTTTATTTTCTTTTTTAGGTTTATTTGAGCTATTTCTGTAAAAATTAACCAAAAAAATTATGTATAAGAATATCATGGAGCCTAATTGAAGGCAACAAGGCAATTTATCTTCTTGAACTTTATAAAAATAATGGGTGTACATACACGTCTTTTTGGCTACGATCCGATACATTCGCACCGGTTACAGTAACTTTTTATCTCTCAATACTGTGCAAATATCTCCATGTAAATTTATAAAAAATTTAGCTTTCTAACGTATTTTTCTCGTGTTTAAAAGAATGAAACGTGCTCAAGTTAATCATTCTCAGTTGATTAAAGCACGATAAATGATCACCCTAGAAAAATGTTCGAAGTTTGGAAAGTATTGGGAATGTGAGGTTTCCAAGACGACGCTCGATAACGTAAATCATACTGTAAACTACGCTGAATATAGAGTGCAGATTTGCAGTAAAGTAAAAATATCTCCAAGCCAGAAAAATATCTACGGTCACATAAAACATTTTATTCCAGTAGTAGTTTCTGTACTTATAATAATATAACAATTTAATGATATTGACTAACTTCATTTTTTGAAGAGCCTAATTTCAAGACCATATAAAAACCTTTGGATTTTTATTTACTTGGGCTTTTCTTCTTTCTTTTTTTTACTTGGGCTTATATCTATTGCTTATCTGATATTGTAAAATTACAGTTCAGTCCATTCTATGCAAGAGCTGATATTAAGGTTAACTGCAAAAATAACATGGGATCGAATCGAGTCGAGATTAAAATTAGGTTGTTCTACTTAAGAAGACCTCTCAACAACTGTGCTATTGAATGCTTAATGTTATACCGTTTTACATTAATACAATACAATGTTACACCGATGAAACAAAGAAGTGAAGACGTGAGTAATTAAGTATACAGATTTTCACAAGTATATAATAGTGTAATTTATGAAACGAAATTGTGGATTTATGATTATTACGTTCAAATACTACAGTTTATTTATTAGTGTTTATTTATTTATCAATTACATTTGGTCTCAAGGCGAAAAATTAACCGATTAATTTTCCACCAGCTAGAAAATTTGTTAATTTTATGGACCAGTGTGCAGATAATTTTTGTAACATTTCAAATTAATTAAAATGTCTAGTACATCGCTCGTGGGTTGATGAATTTACTTAATATCGACTATACAAGTTAGTTCGTCTTAAATAATCTTAAGTTATTTAAGTTTTGTGATAACATTATTATATCACACAGAATGTGAAATGACTATTACTTATAAATTTTGGCGATTCAATATATTGTACTCTACGCCTCTTTTATAGATTTAAAACAATTCGCTTGTTATTAAAACAATACCTCAATTTTCAAATGCTATATATTAATGTAATACTCTGTAATATTCATTTATTATAGTGTCATATTGAAATAATAAATTTTCAATAATGTGAACAAAGATGTTTATTACTATAGATACATGTTCATACTGCGCGGCGTCTAAAAATTATTCAGGTTTTCATTACATGAAATAAGTGAATACTTATTTATGTCGTGAGAGATGATATAGAATATATGATATGGGAAGATATAGCAGTCTATCTAGCGGTGCGCTAGTCTCATATATTTGTATAGAAATATCATTGAATGTGAATAGTTTCTTTCATCGTTAAACTAAATAGTAACCAAACATAACATAACACTCTAGAATTACACGAAAAAATAAAAAATACATTTAATTTAGCCAATTTACTTGTTTTGTTTTTTGACTTTTTTAAACCACCACTGTCAATACCTTTAGGATTTAAAGACGTGAATGCTTAAATTATTAATGAAACATATTAACTTCGTTTTTCTAAGATACAGATTCAGATTCTTCATATTTTTATTTGTTTTCAAAATGGCTAAAATTATATTTGCTATTATACACTTTTCGTATTTTAAGCAAAAGACGCATTTCCAAGAACGCGCGTTTTTTATGTTATAACTCTTTTGCATATGTTCTGAAAATTAATAATCAATTAATTTTGTTTCAGGCTCGTGTGTTGCATGATCAAGTTTCAAGAACAACACATGTAATTTATTGCGTTCGGTGTTGTTAATTACACGATCAACATGGTTATTATAGTCGGTAGGTATATCATAAAAAAATATAAATCAACAAAAAAGTAAAACATAGAATTAAACTGAATACGACGTCATAGTTAAAAATATCTCGAAAAATATCATCTCGAATATATATAAAGTTCCAAAAAGAATTTTAAAAATGTTTTCTCCAGTTAATTTAGTTTTCTTATTTATAAAATTAGCCTCTTTGCTGATGATATACAGTCGACTAAAGTAATGTTGAGTGTATACGCTTTTACAAAGACACTCGAGTCTCCATTTTTTACATTGAGACGCAATTGTAATTAAATTAAAAAAGGGGTCAGATTATTTCCTTTTTCTACTTTCTGTTTTTTTTTTAAATAAAGATTACTGTAGGATATTATTATCGTGTGTTGAACGGACGTTAATACACATACATAAATTTCACATGGAGAAACACTCAGATCCGAAATAATTATCTTAGGGTCACACAAATAGTTGTCCCCTGTGGGAATCGAACCCACGACCGGCGCAGAAACCATCAAAATATTTTATCTTAAATACAAATCAGTACTAATTAGAAAATTTAAGATAAATAGAAATTTACAGATACATACTTACTGCCCTAGGGGGAAGGTGACTAGATGTTATAACACCTAGTATGGGTGACCTGATAGTCAGGTCGATATCATCTTTTTAATAGACAAACTTCTTTGCTCACAAAACCTCTTGACACTAAAATGAATAAGACATCATTACAAGTGTGAACGCAGAAACTAGGCTATCACATTCGTTATTATATATTATTGGTTATTATAATTCTTTAAATGATTTTGATGAACGTAAGAGGAACAAGTATAATTTTTAACAAAAAAAAACCGACTTCAATCAGAAAATTTTAATAAATATAACTTTCAATGACGGCCCTCGATTTCTCTGGGATGCTATCATCAGATCCGGGTTTCTTTTGTGGTTTATCCGCGAACACACATTAATAATATCACAAATATATACGGTCGAATTGAGAAACCTCCTCCTTTTTTGAAGTCGGTTAATAAATTTCATTCACAATCATAGACACGGGAAAAGCGAAATGATCGTAGGCAATTTCTTTTTTTTTATTATCTAACAGGTCGGATATGTCTTCGGACGAGTGTTGTGGTGCTCGCCTTTGCGGGCGATGCTTCGGCGAGGGTTGCGGGCAAAATGGGTGGCTATTCCAACAAGATGGGAGGTAAAGTATATCATTTTATAAAAGAAATAGTTCCTAAATTGAAAAAGAGTAAAAAAACTACGTATGAAAATTTATCACACGCAAATAAAAATTGACCATATCCGAATACTTGCAGGAAAATCCACGAGCGGAATTAACGAAGAAATAATTTGGATAAGCATAAGCATGGCAATAGCCATAGCGGTTCTAATAGCAATCGCCTTGTGCTATATCCTCAAGGAGAAATGTTCGAAGCGTCAATCATACAGAGAGCAGTCATGACGATATAAGGAGGAGTTTGCGCGGCACGCCCTCGCGGACTCTCTTTCTGATTTTGAGTTTCCAGCCTACACCCTTTACCCGCAATATTCACCAGACGGCACCGAGTACTATTACAATTTCCATCGCTTTTCTTATTTGAGGGACAGTTTTAAATTGCCGCCCAAGGATTATCCAAGGAAATTTTCAAAGGACCATCAAAAGGACTTTACAAAGGAATTGTTAAAAGACTATTCAAAGGACTTTTCTAAGGATTGTTCAAATGAATACGCCGTAAAATCGATACACGTAAAAGATGAAATTTATATAAATGCGTAATAAGAGTCAGATGTGTGACATCTTGATTAAAAGCTGTTCATTTAAACGAATTTACACGACAGCGGTGTCGTACTGTACCAATAAAACGTATAAATTAATAGATATTTGTATTGATTATATGTACACTATATAAAAAAAATGTATATATTAAAGAGAAAATTGTCATATTCCATTAGCTGAACTGGATGAAAATGTTTGTTTTCTATAGCAACAATATACTAGTTTAATTAGCTAGATACCACGAAGCCCCGAATGAAAATTTGGAACTGTGATGGAAAATGTGACCTTCCGTAACAAGTTGTGCAGCGTAACTTTTCATGGGAGACGTTTAAATAAAATTGTCCTTTAAATACAATAATGTTATCAAAGTGCGGCCCAAAATAACAAGTTTCCAGGTAATTTCTCAATTTTATAACAAAAACAATCTGATTTATTATTCCTATAAAAAGATATCAGTAACGATGTTTTTTTATATTCAAGACTGTTATTAGTCTTTCTTTAATATTATAATTTAAATCTCCATGAAAGACAATTATTGCAAACATGATTGTAAAATCTTTTGTTATTCAGTGGATTTTTTATTCAATTCAAGGCCATTTTTAAATATAACTTTAGAGGTTATGTTATGTTATGTTTGTCTCAAATTAAAATAATGACTCATTAATTTTAAAAGCGAGTGATTTTTATTCCTAGTGAAACGAACTGCAATTGGAATTTACCTCTTCAAATGGGTTAAAATGGAACAAAGATAAGTGTAGTATAATTGTAGTAGAAAGACTAATATTATAAACATTAATTGTAAAATGGGTATATATGTATGATAATATGTGATAGTGTATATCTTTTCTTGAAGTAAAGGTAGCTAGACATTCAAAGAAAAAACTTACTGTGGGGAAGTAAACTTTAATGATCTTTTCCTGTAATTAAAATAAATTTATAAGCGAATTATGAGTTTTTTCTCAAAAATAAATTTATTTCCAATAAGACCGCACGAAACTCGATCAATAATTTTCCTAAAAATCCGAGGCATTTTTTTATTTATTCTTTATTGAAACATCTTAAAAAGGCAGACTTAATGCCTATTGGCATTATCTTTAATCCAAGAAAATTACGTAATTTAAGATCCGAATAAGCTCTGGAGAAAAGTGTATTAACACGAGTTAGATTGCTTCACCTCCAGAATAACCTCCTTCATAACCAGAATAATAAAAAATTATGGCTGATCTTTTATTCGTTTTTATTTTATTATAATCGTAATCCTTATTTGCACTTGCATTCTCATCTTAAACTAAACAAACTTTATAAAATATTAATACATTTAAGCCATAATTTATATTGAACAACTGTCATTTCAATCTTTGGATGAAAAGCATGAATCATGAATATTCACTGTATATAATATTATTAAAAAGTCGCCCTGAAATGTGCTGTATGGCGTGTTAAGTACTGAGAATTCTAATTTCACACCGTAAGTATTACATCTACACGGATCCCACAATTATGTTAGCGTCCGTTGGTGACGCGATTTTGAGGCCCATAAAAAACCAATGCATAACCCTGAAGGTTCAGAAGTCGACCTAGCGTTTTTGCGCATACTGTTATATGTATATAATATTATATGTTTCTGTATATTTACATGTAGATGAATATTAATGTGCGTACGTGCTTTTTCGAAACGCATAAGTGTTTTTTATCGATTTATTTTGATAAGAAATAACAGCTTCCCCAACAGCGACTGGAGTTCCTAGGCAGTACCAGAAACTTATAGAAGATCGGCGTTAAATAAAAGCATTCACATTTTTCAGTCCGTACAATATGTGAGGTAATCAGAGGCTATGTCCTGTGTTTTGAGTGTCCATGTACGGCATTCCCCTCTAATTCTACCAAGTGAATCACTGACTTAATAAACCTTTAAATCAAGATAAAAATATAAGTACTTTACAAGTTTATTGAAACGCAACTAAATAATACAAGGGGTTTCTTTCAATTCATCGCTGTACCGGCTCTGATATCATCGCTAAACGCTTTTGTCAGAGCTACATTTATTGTTGAGATAATATTAAGTCGGCACCACTATTTATTTCTGCCCCATTCATTGAAAGTAACACTCTTCTAATCTTCGCTCTTTATATAAATCAAGATATAAACGTATCCAGATCCAGTGGTCAGAGCTACACTTATTATTGGAGATAATATTAAGTCGGTATAGTTACCACTATTCATTCCTGCTCCATTTGTTTAATGTAAACATAATCATAAAAGAAATTTAAAAATTTTATGATAGAGGTAGAATTAGTCTTAGCACGTTGCATGAAATATCATTACTATTATAAATGAGGTTCACTTAAAACTTTATGGCGTATCGTAGAAACAGTCCTTGGAGGTTTTTTTTTTGGTAAATCATGTATTTTGGAAATAAAAAATAAAAAAAGCAATGATCTGGTATAGAAAAAAAAGTAAAGAAAATAAGTGTGTAAATGATCTAGATTCCAATTATATATATATATACAAGAATTGCTCGTTTAAAGGATAAAGAGATAACTGATAACGTACAAGCGTTGCGTTGTACATATTATTATCTTGTAAATTACTCGCTGATGGCTTTTTAAAGCTTGGATCAACATGAACTCATAGCATTTATAGAGACTGGATAATTCAAAACAAGATTAATTATTTTAACTTTTGCTTTGTACATGAATTACCATTTGAATTAAATGAAACATTGGAAAATTAACTAAAACAACAGTAAATCTCTGCAAAAAGTAACAGTAACTCACGAGAAACCAGCAAGAAGAGTATAAAAAATCCTCTGGGAAGCACTTATGAAAACGAATACAATTTTTATAATCATCCGTTAGGTAAGGGTAATTTAAATTGTACATGATATTTTTCGATATTTCCATAATTAACGTAATATAAAAATATCTTTGCCATCATAATTTTAGTTTATCGTCATATGCAATAAAAAGATTTTCCCAAGTTCTTTCTTTAATAAATGACACCATTAATTACAAAGAGTGATAGCGTAACAACAAAGTAATTAATCAGTGTCAAATTTCATTTAGCAGGGTCTATGACTCTCTGAATAAGCTAATAACCAACCTTCTTCGAGATTGGTGACTTTGAATTAACTTCCACAGTTTCTGACAGTTGAATTTATAAGATCTTATTAAAATAATGACGTATTATGTCATAAGTTTAATAAAACAGTACCAAGTTAACATTATTAGGTGTGACCGTAGGCAATTTAATTTTGAATCCGACCCAATTCTAGGTTTTATCCGATGCCCATTGGCTTACTTTGTGAGAATGTAACTATTATAATGTTCTCTCGACCGTACAACTTCAATGGGATAATCCGAATCCGGACAAACAAACCTTTCATAAAACCCCATTCTAATTTTCAACAGTGTATACATTATCCCGTTTTATTTTGATTTTGTATCTTTTCTTGACACACAGAGTCTGTCCCGTGACCATCAACACTGTAAAGGGTTCGAAACTTCGGTAATTACAAAATCTAAATAAAAACGCGATAAAATCCGTAAACTAGTTTCATATAGTAGGTATTTATGTATGTACATCATGTTTTTACAAAGTTATAGCATTTTATACCTGGTGCTGGTGGGTCGTTTTTATAGATAATGGTACGGAACACTGCGTGCGTGAGTCCGACTCGCACTTGGCCGGTTTTACTTTAAACTAACTTGTAACTTACAATCATAACTTTTTTTACAGACCATAATATATAATTAACTATAGTTTCATCCTATTCAACTGTAGCTATTGTATAGAATTTTATCGAACAAATCTTCAATGTAGTTCTTTAATTAGATATAATTTTTTTTTTTATTTATGAACCGACTAGCTGCTGCCCGCGACTACGTCTGCGTAGAATAGGCTGAAGGCGTAACATTCAGATAGAAAGATAGATATACATAAAATATGTATATAAATTATAGCCTATGTTTTATTCTGATATATGAGCCATATTATTGTCAAGTTTCATTAAAATCCATTCAGTACTATTGGCATGAAAGGGTAACAAACATCCATCCATACATACAAACTTTCGCCTTTATAATTTTAGTAAGGATTTACATAAAAGACTAAATGTCAAGTGAAGCTTACTTACTTACAATGCATTAGTGAAAGTTCAGATCCCAAATCGGTTAAGCTGTTTCTGAGATTAGCACACACAAGCAGACAAAACTTTTAACAATCATTGATTTGGGTTTTATTGCACCGACAAAGATGATAAAGGCCCCCAATAACAGTTTTTCTCATACACAGACAACGATCAGTTGCATTTTTATTACATGTACAGATATGGATATACATATATAGATATATTTGATAACATAGAGATATATTTAGTTACACGATCTGCACCCGTTCCTGGCCCTTTGTTCCTCAATAATGCTTAGTTAGCGCCCGCGGTTCCCACGCATTGTAACGCGTAGTGGAATGTTCCGACGATGACGAAAATACAGAGGCAGCAGTCCAGCCCTCGTTCCTTTTAGTATTAAGTTTAGTCGGAGGACAGTCTGTATTAAACATCCGATTGTATCACTCACTTGAAATTTTTAATTAACATTAAATATTAAAATCGATTTAGTGTCTTTTTAAAAAGCAAGTTGCGCCTTCCTCAAACTTGACTACGTTGTGAAAAACTGTTTTGA